ACTTTTGACGTAAATTAACTTGAATTTTAAACTCAATAGTTACATTAATTTCTCTTTTAAGTGAGGAGAGTATAGTTTGTTGCATTGCCTTCAGTGACAGTTAATTTTTCTTCATCACAGTGATGTCCCCTCTGTGACAGGAAGGTCCCCTCTGTGACAGAAAAGTCCCCTCTGTGACAAAAGTTCCCCTCCGTGACATTTTTATCTTTTTTAAAGTAATTAAAAGGAAAAAGAAGTGGAAGAAACTCTTTACCACTTTTGAGTTGGTCAGCCCATACTTCAATAATTAACAGAAGTTTCTGCAGTTATTCCCATTTATTTTAGAAAGATCATAATTTTTGTGCGTATTTTTGTCATGGAGGGGGCAATTCAATGTTGGACAAAGCATTACATCTCTTCCGCACAAAGCCAAGAAACAAATTTAATAACATAGGAAGTCTGGGTAAACAACTTAATGTCCTGACAGTTATTATTAGATTTCTTCTCAAGACAGATCTACAATATTTATTTAGTGTATGTCCCCTCTGTGACAGCTTTTTTGGTATCAAAGTTAATTAATGATAATTTATGACACAAAATTACAGTGCTGACATCTCAAAAGTATCATTTTATACAAATTAGGCATTTAACCAGTACAGAAATAGAACTTAATAGTCCTTTTAGTCAATGTTATTTCTTAGAGCTTTATGTCCAAAGTACTGTGGAATTACCCTAGAACACCATTTCCTTTACTAGATATAAAAACTTCAGGAAATCTAATTTTTTTTTTGTTCTGGTATCCATGATATCTTAAGAGGATGCTTGTTTGGGGTATCACAGAAGGAGAATTAGCATTTTCATTCACACTAAAATAGCATGAAAATTGTTTGCAGTATCCCTATAAAAATAAATATTTCCTTAAAGTGATATAAATGTTACAGGTCAAATTTGATTTCAGGTGAATTTTGATTTAACCTAGGTTATTTATAATGTAGCCTTCTAACAGGGTGCGCGGGTGCGGAACCGCACAATTTGGTCAAACCCGCACAATCCTATGGGGTGCCGTACAGGACAATATTGTGTGCCCAAAAAATAAAATGCAAAAGTTAAATATATATCGCATGGATCAAATGAATATATGAATAGAATATGTGTGCAACATATATATGGTATGGACCAAGTAAATATATGGTACTGAATAAATAAATAGATGACATAGGACAAAAGTATGAAAAATATATACGGCTATTGTGCCCATTGTCAATTTGGTCAGCGGAAGATTGATAAAAAGTAACATGGCGGCCCGTGACAGGATTGATGATTTAGAGTAATTTTTCGAGAGCTCTATTCCATCCCTTTTTCGTCAAGCTCGTAGAAATCTTCACTCTGAAGACATCAATGTCTTGGAGTATTTTGAACGCCAATTAGATGATCATGCATACGTTGTTAGGTGTTTCATATTTGAGTGCGAAGTGCAAAGCTTTGGGGAAAGTTTACTTAAACCACTTTAATATCTCTTGTACAGAGAATTCATCGGCTTAAGAAGTCAGTTTCTAAATATTTGTTGCATGCTTTGAGACTATGCTTCTGAAAGTGGATTTTCTTGAAGTTTCAGGGTTTGAACTTGAACTATCAGAAGACCTAGCTTGCAGGGCTTCTTTGAATTGAGGATGATCAATAATCTGCCGAGCAAGTAAGTCGACAGTGGGAGTAGAGTTTGCCATAATTATATGTGACCGGGCACAGGATTTCGTACACTAACGCTTTTCCGTTAAACGGGTAAAAATAAACGGTTTGTAAACGGATAGTAAACGGGTAGTAAGAGCGTTTAAACGGTTTGCATGTCCGTTTAAACGAATAGTCCAAAGCGTTAAACGGTAGAGCAAAGTCCAAAAACGGATTCCGTAAACCGTTAAACGGCCGAGAAAAAAAATAAACGGATGGCTTAAAACGTTAAACGGTTGAACAGCATCTATAAATATTATTTTTATGGATAGCTCAAAATGTTAAACGGATGGACAAAAACCTTGAACGAATGAGGAGGGCTAAAGAACGGCGGAAAGTCATGCACATATCGATCAGAAACCGTTGCGAACAATTATACGAATTGTTCATGCGGAACACTGACGTTTCATGCTAATAATATTCGACTGATAACGATAGAAAACTAAGTAAAATTAAATTACTAGCCTGCT